TTCATTCTTTTCTACATTGTTTCATTTATTAAAAATCATGTGCCTGTGTTTTTACATATATTATTTTCATTTTTTTAATGTGAAATAAATGAAGCCACAGGCAACAAAAAAAGAAAAGGCAAAAAATAAAAACATATGAAAAGGCACTGGGCCTCATTCTGTAATCAAGAAAATAGACATTAAAAATATGAGATACCATTACATACCTAACAAAGACTGCAAAAACTAAAATCTCTGACAATACCAGTGTTGTAGAGAATGTGGAGTTACTTTAATGGTGGTAAGAGTACCTTTGGCATACACTTTGGAAAACAGTTTGACATTATTTAGTAAATTTCTAGATGCACACATACTTTGTGACCCAGCAATTCTATTTCTAAGCACACTCTGAAAAGATACGTGCTTGGATGCATGTACAAAAGTGTTCATAGCAGCACTATTTATAATAGTCAAAATCTCTATGTAATTCAAATGTTCAAAAGTACAATAAATAAAAAGAGGAACACACATATATAATACTACAAAACAATTAACATGGATAATGATGATAATATTATTCTGACTACTATTACTACTATTTTGACTACTATTTACACTAATGTCTTCTCTGTGGATTATTTATGCCCCCTGAAAATATCTGCTCAGGGAGAACATAAAGAAATGCCTATTTGGGAAGTAAAGCTTCTTTATTTGTGCTATTTTCTTCTAGTTTCTCCACTGTGATATTTTTAAATGTATCTTCTTGCTTTTATGTTCTGCATTATATTGACCACAAAATTTTATAGGGACTAAAGTTCTGCCCTCCATGTCATTTCTTTCTTAGCAATGCCACTCCCCATCTGCAGGTGCAGGAGTCCTGAACCTGTGCAGGCTGAGTAAAAGTAACAGATGCGGTATAAACTGGCTTTAAAACCTGCATGCTGAAAGGAAACAGTAAAGGAGATGTGCTAGATTCCTCACTGCTCACACACCCTTTACAGCTCTTCTTAGGATTCTGGCCCACAGACTCCATTTTGTGGTAATCGTTGTGGCCCATTTTCACAGCAGACAACAGCAGGCAATTATTTACATGAGAGGCCACAAAAGATATGAGGTTACTACATCATATGCATACTATATTTTAGTGGTAAAATATCTTTTTTTAATGGAAAAAACAAATATATGTTGTTTTAAAGTGGCTAAGTTTTATATCTTGCCAAGTACAAGGCATTACATAAACTATATTGAAATTTCCAATTTTTAGAAACAAAAGATAAAAACCTAGTAGTGACTTTAAAATTTATTTATAATCAAACAGGAAATCATAACAGATTTCACTTACAGCTTCTTACTAGTGCACATGAAAGTTACCAGAGGAGAATAAGCTATTTAAATTATCAGGCCATAGCTTTTCAGTCAGGTGCTGAGTGGTTTTTCGGATCATGTCTGGTGGCTCTGCGGATTATAACAGAGAACATGGCGGCCCAGAGGGAATGGACCCCGATGGTGTCATCGAGAGCAACTGGAATGAGATTGTCGATAACTTTGATGATATGAATTTAAAAGAGTCTCTTCTTCGGGGCATCTATGCTTCTGGTTTTGAGAAGCCTTCAGCTATTCAGCAGAGAGCTATTATTCCTTGTCTTAAAGGGTATGATGTGATTGCTCAAGCTCAGTCAGGTACTGGCAAGACAGCCACATTTGCTATTTCCATCCTGCAACAGATGGAGATTGAGTTCAAGGAGACCCAAGCACTAGTATTGGCCCCCACCAGAGAACTGGCTCAACAGATCCAAAAGGTAATTCTGGCACTTGGAGACTATATGGGAGCAACTTGTCATGCTTGCATTGGTGGAACGAATGTTCGAAATGAAATGCAAAAACTTCAGGCTGAAGCACCATATATTGTAGTTGGTACACCAGGGAGAGTGTTTGATATGTTAAACAGAAGATATTTTTCTCCAAAATGGATCAAAATGTTTGTTTTGGATGAAGCAGATGAAATGTTGAGCCGAGGGTTTAAGGATCAAATCTATGAGATTTTCCAAAAATTAAATACAAGTATTCAGGTTGTGTTGCTTTCTGCCACAATGCCAACTGACGTGTTGGAAGTGACCAAAAAATTCATGAGAGATCCAATTCGAATTCTGGTGAAAAAGGAAGAATTGACCC